TTCCACTGCATATTGATTTTCATAGTAATGCTTTGACATTTGAATGCCCGTCTCATGTGAATCAAATCTCCCTTTTCAGATCAAGCCAGGAAGCGTGTTAAACGGGAGAAGGACGGGGTGTTTAAAGTTATTGAGACCAAAGATGATAGTGGTGACATCAGTCTGTCTTGAAAGCACTGACACTTGAAATCTGCCATTAGGCCAAAGTTGAGTTATCATTGCCACACTGATCAAGCAACATTAACTGGTCCAAAAGCTGCCTGCTGGTTCTACTCAAAGATTGAGATCTTTTCTATTTTAGACTTTTAAGTTGACCACTGCTGCTTTTAATAAGTCCATCCTTGGTTATGATTTTTAGCAGATTTAACATGTCTCTTTCTTTTCAATGCCATGTCAACTTTTGTTTTGGGATTAGCATTAAAAAACAGGAATCCCACATTTTGGCTACTTTGTAAATACTGCTGTACATTTCATATGTAGTTGACTGAATAGGAATCGCACATGTAAACCGCTTCAAAGCACTTTGACATTCTAGAATACTGTAGAACAAACTTTGTTTTATATTTCATGCTTTCAAAATTATAATAAATATTTTCTATACAGCATGTGATGTTTTTATTTAAATATGGGCTATAATTTTGCATTTCAAATAACTTGGTGCAGAAATGTTACATTGTTACAGGAGAAAGCGTGCATGTGCACACAATAGCTGGTGGTAGAAAACCAACAATTCATTTCATTTTTGCTGGTTCTCCTCTTCTAGTTTTCTTCTTATGTCCTGAATCACTGCAGGGAAGAAAACCATTATATTTTCATTCCAAAGACAGGATGCATGCAGTTATAATGAATGCCTTCGTGTGACTTAATGGATATGTACACTTCCATTCAAAAATTTGGGGTTGGTAAAAAAATTTCTCATGCGCAGCAATACTGCAGTTACTTGATCAAATTACAATTTATTGCATATTGCAATAATATAGAAATATTGAATGTACAAAAATGCAATTCATAATCCTCACCCTCATGTCGTTCCAAACCCGCAAGACCTTCGTTCATCATTGCAACACAAAAAGATATTTTTGATGAAGTGATGAGAGCATTCTGATCCTCCATACACAGCAATGCAACTACCGCATTCAAGGCCCAGAAAGGTAGTTAGGACATTGTAAAAATAGTCCATGTGACATCAGCGGTTCAACGGTAATTTTATGAAACTACGAGCATACTCTGTGCAAAGAATAAAAATAACGACTTTATTCAAGTCTTCTCTTCTGCGTCAGTTTTTGCTGCGCATTCAGGAGAGTATCACGACACAAGCATGTGGTATGCGTGTCACATGGACTATTTTAACGATGTACGTACTACATTTCTGGGCCTTGAACTTGTCAGTTGTGTTGCTGTCTACGCAGGGTCAGAAAGCTCTCGCATTTCATCAGAAATATCTTAATTTGTGTTCTGAAGATGAACAAAGGACTTGCAGGTTTAGAACGACATGAGGGTGAGTAATTAATAGCATTTTCATTTTTGGGTGAACTATCCCTTTAAAGCTGAATTTCCAGCAGCCATTACTCCAGTGCTTAAATGTGGAAACATGATACATTTTTTAATGGAAAGTAAAAAAAAAAACATTTATTTAAAATCTAAATCTTTTGTAATATCAAGGTCTTTGTCACTTTTGATCCATTTAATGCATTCTTGTTAAAGTCTTACTGTCCTCAAACTTTTGAATGGTGGTGCTTATTTTTTCTCCATTTAAACCTGGCAATTAAAAAATATTCTTCAAAAACATTCTGCACTATTTTTCTAGTTTACTAATCAAATAAGTTTGTGACACTGAGAAAGTGTTAGATTTCAGGTCAGAGTTCATGCAGCATGAGTGCTGCTTTAATTAAAAGGCCAAACCAAATACTAAAATTGTAAAAAAAAAATACATTCATTTTTCTTCTCAACTTTACTCCTTTATAACACAATTTGAATAAATTGGGCTTTAAAACATAAAAATGCAAAACATGAATTTCATTAGTAAGTCATATTTTAGGAATCGGGTCTCATACCATCATCGGCGTGTGAGAACTTCTGAGCATTTCTCTGATGGTTTGTAGTGACGTCAGTGATGGTCATGGGAGGATCGGCTGCATCCATGTGGCCCATTTTCTGTGTGATCTTGTCGCTGAGGCCGAGGTAATCCTTTCGCAAGTCCTCCATCTCCGCTAACAGCACCTCTCTCTCTCGCTCCAGCAGTCGAATGGCCTCTTTGAGCCGTGCTCCCTCCTTCGTGCTTGCCATCTTTTCTTTATGAACGCTCTCCAACTTCTCTGTCAAGACTTGCTTGTCTCTCTTGAGTTTACTGAGCATCTGCATCAAAGTCTCACACTCTCTTCTCAGACCATCGGACTGCTGCAGACAGGCTTTCTGCTGCTCCTGCAGCTGAAGTATCTCCACGCTCTGCTTGTTGTGAATCCGTTTCGATTCATATTTCACAGCCTCCACCTGTTGAAGTGCTTGGTCTCTTTCTGTTTTGCAGTTTTCCAACTCCGCGTTCAGTTTTTCAATCCCCTCCTGAAATTCCTTAACGCTCTTCTGATGGTCAGACTCTTTGGAGCGAGTCGACTGAATGAGCTCCTTGTTCTTCTCCTGAGCTTGACGTAAATGTTCTCTGAGGTTTGCAGATTCACTTCTCGTGGCTGATATCTCCTCCTCAAGTCTCTGACGAATGCTGATGTTCTTCTTATGTTCGGCGTCCATCATCTGCAGCGTCTCTCTACATAAAGCCAGATCTCGGTCTGCTACATCTCTTTGCTCCTCCAGAAGTTTCTGCTTGGTTAGCAGCTCTTGAGACATCTGCTGGAGCTTCCTCAATGCTTTTTGACAGCTCTTTTTCTCATTGAGCTCCACGTTGAGTTGGTCCTTCATGGTGTTGGCGCGTGTTTTCAGGCGCTCGTATTTCTCCATCAGTGCTTTAAGCTGCTTCATAGACGTTTTGTTGTTACTTTTGGCTTCAGCGAGTTCCTCCTTCAAATCTTCAGAGGTTTGCTCAAACCTGGTGGTGATTTCGGTGTTTTTCTGTTCCTCACACTTCAGCTTTCCAGTAACGAGTTGGGTTTCCTTCTCTTTTTGCTTCGACGTCTCTTTCATATCTTTCAGTTCTTGTCGCTTGACCAACAACAAATGGACAAGATGTTGATTCTCCAAGTCCTTCTGTTGCAGTTGTTCCTTCACGACTTCAAAGAAGTCCAGATGTTTACTCTTCGAAGATGAACTTTTGTCAGCTCTGCTTCCTTCTCGGCCCTTTGATATTTCCTTCAAAACTGCTTTGGATGGGTTTGAGGAACATTCAACAGACCGTGTTGAATTAGACTTAATAAAGTATCCAAAGGGCAGGTGTAAGGCTTTATGATCCATGTGGAAATCATATTTTGACACCATCATAGCCTCTTCTTTTTTCAGCAGATCTGCTCCTGCTAGAATACTTTGCAGGGATTCAATTGCTTGCTCATTAAAATCATGACTGACATTTTCATTTGTGTTTCGCAGTAAACTCTGTCGCACTTTCAAGAACCTGTTTTCAAGCGTATCCGCTGCAGCATGCTGGGATTTAGCAGGGAGTTCTTGTCCTTTCTTCCACCGACTAAACAGCAGCTCTTTGTCATTTGATTGCATTTCACTGCTGATGGCTTCTGGCTGACGGGTGCCCAACTTAGCAGGAACTGGTCTGTCACAGTCCTGCTGCGTGTCGTGAATGCTATCAAGTTTACACTTGTGCATACATCTTCTAGTCTGTTTAACGTCCAGGTCCATCTGAGTTGAGTTTGTTTGTACTGTAAGAAATCCAGGCAAGTCGTTTAGGCAATGGTGTTCGAGATTTACTTCAAATAAGCACTTCATAGATGTTGAAATGAGCCCTTACCTTACTTGCGTTACTCCCCAGCATCCAAACGGACTGCGACAGGAGCCTACTGTGCCTCTCAATCCCCATTGTTCAAAACGTTTTAAAATGTCTGTCGCCATAGTAACAGGACCAATGCTGGCAACGCTAAGCGCTAGGAAAAAGACGTTATAAAAATGGTTTTGAACCGAACCGGTTCCGCTTGAATGACTAACGTTAGCGTCGCCAGAACAAAAGCAGCTATTATCACACTGGTGAGGCTCAACTCAAACTTGGCCAGCAGTTTTGGTATGTCGCAAGACTGGGAAACTTAATAAAATTGAGGAAGCATCTAATTAAAAAATTTTTTTTTTTTTTTTTGTTATTAAATAAATATATATTTGCCTTTGGTTAGAATTTTGTAGTTTTATTTAATAAATACATTTTTAGTTAACACTTTACAATAAGGGATAATTAGTTAATGCATTAGGAGCCAACAATACTCGTATGGCATTTATTATTATTTTTATTTTTTTTCATTTATAATCGCTTGGACCCATTTCTGAATTCTTACTGTAGGTCTCTTTTTCAAACCTCTTCAGTTTTCCTTACCAACGTTCAGCTTGGCCAATATAAAATGCACTAAAACTACCAAAAATTCCATATGCCTAAAATCAACCATATGTTTCATGGTCCATATTGATATTACAGTAAAAAACTGGTTTTAAGTTTTCCGTATTTGTATAAACAGTAATGAATTAAAAGATTAACACCGGTGTAGGTGTTCAGCTAAATCTGATAGTATTTCATTTTTAGATTTGTAATAGATTTCAGTATTACTGTAGAAATGCAGCATAGCAAATCAGCCTGCAGGTACACTGAGTTTTGGTGGTGGTTGTTTCTGTTGTACTTGCGGTGTAAAGATTTAAGAGAAGAAAAAAACAGAATCTAGGTTAATAGTTAAATACACTACTGTTTATTCCAAATTCACGTTTAAAAAAATGTCAAATTCAAATTAATTTGAACTTGAATACAAAAATAAACATTGTTAACATATGGAAGCTTACTGTAGAGTGTTTATTTTGTGCTGTCTTTATATAAAGCACATAAGCAATTGCTTCCTAAATAATCCTGAAGGAACCAGAAACGCAAATTTTTAAATAGTTTAATTGTTTAAAAAAAAAATTACATGGCATAACCTTAAAAGACTGACAAATCAAGTCTTCTCGTGAGCACTCCCTTGTGTCAGAAGACTGCGCACAATGAAAGGTGCTCTGAAGTACAACAAAAGGCAAATACAGCGTCACATTCATACTCATCTCAAAACATTGTACATTAAATCCTCTTGCGATCTACAGATGATATTTGTACACTCATTTACATGCATGAGGCTATGATAGTCAAAAACAACACTGTACAGAAAGAGGCCCAATAGAGGGGTGTCTTGGATGGATTTACAACTTCAGCATTCCTTAAAGGCTCTAAAAATACCTCACAAGAAATCCAGCAAAATGCTATAACGTTTTCACACCGAGTAACTGAGTGTGTGCTAGAAGGCGAAATGGAAAATGCTACGGATCATCCACTGAGAGCAGTAATTCAACCGTTGAGCATATAAGGGATTAAACATCTACTGTTGAAATTCACTTTCAGATTGTAAAACATTTGTAGTGCTTCCCTGAATAATCCCTCAAACCAAGAGAAATCCAAAGCTGCATGTATACCTGATGATTAAACCTGAATTTATGAGCATTTGTACTGATGTCCGTTGCTGTTACAGTGTCAGTCAGCATGTCGGTGTGTATACTGGTCAGGGTAAAGTATGCTGTAAACTTTGGTTAGAGTCTACATGACCAAACATCACAGAAACTACAAAACATAAAAGCAGTGATTGTTCAAACACGGGGCAGATAAGGCATAGCAAACTGTCAGTTGGTCTTCAACTTTGTAGCTTGTGTCACCTGATTTGTTAGTGTGGCTCTTATAGAGTTCACAACAGTCTGTCGGACATTTTCTTCCATGTATTGCTCAGTTAGTGGCTTCAGCACCTAGAATCAACAAAAAGGGGAAAAACAACAAAAACTTTAATGGTGCTTGAACAGTTTCTAGCCTGTTGCCGAGTGGTTGCTAGTGTGTCCTGAGTGGCTGTTTACAGGTCACAGGAGTCAAATCCCTAGATATGGCTTTCTCATAAATGGACTGGAACTTTTTACCTTCATCAAAGCCTGGTTGATTGAAGTAACTCAAAGTTTTGTATGTCCATGTCTTTTCCAGTCATTTGCTGGATTTTTTAATAATAGTTTTAAAACTGCACTCACAAACAGCAGTCTAACAGATGAAATAATAGCTGAACGTGTATTTTTAGTACATAAAAAATGCCCATGCCTTGATTTTAAGTCATGAGATTTTATTAACTTCATTTTTTTTTTTTTCAAGTCTGGGACAAATAAATTCCTTGATATTTCCAGTTTTTCCATGAGAATGAGAACCCTGGACTTAAATATGATGCGATTTCAAGTTTTCCTTTCTCTTTGGAGTGTTCGGGGCATAGAGGACCTACAATAATGTACAGTATTTGAAAAAGAATGTGTTTTTTGAACATTAAAGCATGTCAACATATTCTGTTACACCAAATACACAAAATAATGATCTTTAAAAGCATCATATGACCCCTTTAAGGTCAAGCGTCTGTTCAAATCCTTAAAGGGATAGTTCACCCAAAAGTTTAAATTCTGTCATCATTTACTGACCCTCATGATGTTCCAAACCCATAAGACAATAATTCATCTTTAAAACACAAATGAAGATATTTTAAATGAAATCTGAGTTTTCTGTCCCTCCTAGTCTTTTAATCCACCAAAACTTTTGACACTTCTAAAATGTTATGACAAAATCATAAAAGAATAGAGTGGTTTAATCAAAGTTTTCTAAAGTGACAACTGCTGTATTTGAAAATTATATTTTCATCATTTAAAGCATGTTGTGACTTGAATTAAACAGCTTGATTTACAATGTCTTTATGAACTTTTTGGAGCATCAAAGTTTTGGTAAAATGCACTTTCGATTAGGACCGCGATGATAAATAGATGCATCGCGATTAGTGGATCGATTCTGAGATTTTCTGAAGGCGTCGCGGTTCTCTCTAGACTGAATTCTGAATTTTACTGTTAACAGCAGATTGCACTCTAATCTAGTTTTTAACGAGTCATGTACTTGCATCTCAGCTCAGAATGCTTTTATGACGCAAGATTAATGTGTAAACAGCCCACTGTGAACACCATTGTAAATCGTTTCAGCCTTTATGATTATATTAGGTTCAAGTTTGTATAAGGAATTGGAAGCAAGCAGCGTACGGCTGTTGCTAAAGCAAGCAGTGCCATCTGCTGTTAAAAACCGAGCTCAGAATCAATATGAGAGAATCACGATGCATTCGGAAAAATAAAAAATAAATAAAAAATAAATCGCAAAATTATTTCTCGATTCGCAATTCATCAATTTACTTTCCCAGCCCTGCTTCCAATGGCAGCAACAGAATCTTTCAGGTTTCATTAAAAATATTTCTCATTAGTGATGGGAGAAACAAACCTTTTCGAAGCTTCAAATCAACTGAACCAATTGCTTCACAAAATGGTTCACTGTTTCGAAGCACTCGAAACACTACACGCTTGTAACACCTGCTGGTCAAAAGTGTGTAAATGCAACAAAAACTCAGGCTAAAACATGCATAAAAACAGCCAAATTGCAAATGTTTTATTGAAAGTGTAATACATTAAATGCAATACAAATAATAACATACAATTAAACATGAAGTGTCAGTCTGATATGTGGTTTTTCAAATATTTTATATTAATTTGCAGGGCTTATGTTGTTTGTTTTGTGGAGAGATTGTATATAGAGGCCAGTAAGAGACTATGAACTACTTCTCATCCTTTTAATTACACAAATGTCTCGTTAAAAATGTCAACAAATTGATTAAACTGATCTGAGATCAGGTAAAAACCATGGTTCAATGGTTCGCCGCTGGGGGGCGATCACAATGAACTTGCATGATTCACGGGTTTATAGAGATCGCCCCCCAACGGCGAACCATTGAAATTTCGAAATGTTTCGAAACAGTTATGACGTAATGAAGCCTTGTTTACTGAAATCATGTGACTTTGGCAGTTTGACACGTGCTCCGAACCACTGTTTCGAAAACAACTGATTCACAAAAGTTTCGAAGCTTCATGAAGCAGTGCTTTGAAAGCGCCCATCACTATTTCTCATTTCTTATTCGAAGATCTTATGGGTTTGAAATGACATGAGGGTAAATGAGTAAATAACACTTTTCTTTTGTTGGTGAACTAACCCTTTAACCCCAAATAAGAGCAATAGTAATGCAAAAAGTTAATCAAGAAACAAATCTCTACATACTATTATAGTCTAATAGCAAGACTCAGTCTCAGTAAAGCACCTCAGTTGAAAACCTGGCATTAGAATCAAGGTTTGTTCTAAAATGCACAGGTCCTGGGACAACATTTGTTTTTGGGTGGGCCCTTTCTTGTCTGGACTACATGAGTAAGTTATACTACAGAGGAGTTTCATGGGCCCCCACTGTCTCAGGGCCCAGGACAATGCTGCCCTCTTTACAACTGCTATCAATGGGGAGTCAAATTACTTCCTCAGCTTTAGAAAAGTGGGTTATGACAGGACTAGAAGTGAAAGGTTTATAGGATGGGATGAACACAAATGTCGACAGGAAAGCAACTGAAACAACAATATTGTAGAATAGGCCCAGCCATCCAGGAAGCATAACTCACCTGTTCCCACAGGGCCTCTGCTATGAGGTCTATCGCCACACCCACTTCTCGATACTCTCCCGAGTATCTGACATATGCCCAGGCACACAACGACAGCAGCGACACCCCCATCACCAGACTGGCCAGAGCCGCGATCACTGATAGCCCAATGAAACCTGCTACTGTGGAGACCATATAGGTAACAAACATGACGGCAAACAGGGTGGCCGGAGTTCTGGCTGCATAGAAAATGTTCTTGCTTTCATTGTGTTTCACGAAATTCATGTACACTTCATCCAGCTCAGTCTCTAACTGCTGCTGGTAGCGCTGACTGAACTCCACGCCGCCCATTTTCTTCACCGCGCAAAACTGTTGCAAGGAGGTTTTCTTAAACTCTTCGTGATAGCGCTGAAGGTCAACAGGGGCGATGTATGGTTTGTCACCTCCACATACCTGTGACATACACACAACAAAAATATAAGCTCAAAATCATTTCCTAATCACCAGACGCATGTATTCTAGAAATGATTAAACCATAACAGGCATCTCTGTATTTTGAGTTATCTAGGCCAAACCTACTATTTTAGTGCAATGGCCTCAAGTTATTTTCAGTTATATAGGCTAGCTCATCTCACGTCACGCTCCTGCTATATTTACTGAGAACTGAGGTCCCTCTCCATCCATGATCCATTTAGAAAATAAAGAACTTTGATATGCAGGATGCATTTTACTCACACCACTTGCAATTTGTCTACATGCATGTTTCTGTCAAACAGATGCAAAATTAGCAGCTCAAAGTAACTCTACCTGCTCCATGGTTCTGTTATAAGTGTCTTTCGCTCCACCGACAGCTGTCAGGTTGTTCGCTTCAGCAGTTGCCTGAGTAAAAGAGGCACAGTGGGCATTTAACACTTTCATATAGACTACCGTGCAAAAGTTTGGGTTCAGTAAGCTTTTTTAAGCCATTTATACTTCAAATTAATCAAAAGTGACAGTAAAGACATGTATAATGTTACTAAAAATGTTTAAATAATACTGCTATTTTGAACTTTCTATTCAAAAGAATAATGAAAAATTATCAGTTTCCACAAACATTAAGCTGCACAACTGTTTTCACCACTGATAATAAAAAATGTTTCTTGAGCAGCAAATATCAAAATGATTTCTGAAGGATCATGTGACAGAAGTCTGGAGTAAGGATGCTGAATTTAGCTTTGCCAAAGGAATAAAATACATTCAAATAGAAAACATTTTATTATAGTTATTTTAAATTATTTTAAATGTTTCATAATATTACTGTTTTTGACATTAAAGATTAAGGGCAACACACCTGCAACATGGATTTAGGATGTGGAAGCTCCTCCCCTTGATAGATTTTAATATATGCCTACAAACGGGGGGAAAAAAAACATTTGGATGTTCATAAGCATTAAAGGGGTGGTTGACTGGTTTTTTTTCTAGGCTTGATTGTGTTTATGGGGTGCAGTCTAACATGTGTTAATGCTTCGTAAAAAAAAAAACCCGCATTATTTTTCACATAATTTACCTTTATTACACACCGCTCTGTCCCTTCTCCTATAAACGCGCTGATCATTTCCTGCTTTTATGAAGCCCCTCCCTCAGAAATAGGCGATGGGCTCTGATTGGTTAGCTAGCCCAGTGTGTTGTGATTGGCTAAACCGCCTCTGGTGCACGTCTAAACGTCCCGCCCCCTCTCCTCAGCGGCATGTGCTCTGGTTGTATTGTAAGTAATGGCGTCGTCTTTATTGCTTATCAATTTGAGCTCGACTGAGACCCAGAGAATATTATTGAAGAGGATCGCGCAGAACCTGTGCAAGCATGGCTCTTAATGGTATGTTTTTTGTTTGTTGTTGTCTCATACTTTTAGATACGCTGTTATTTGTAAATGCTACTGCTTATGTTAGCTTCTAAGATTTTTGTTTGTTGTTGTCTCATACTTTTAGATACGCTGTTATTTGTAAATGCTACTGCTTCTATTAGCTTTTAATATACAGTTTTATCCGGAGTAAAGCTTTAATACAGTTTAATAAAGTTTAATACAGGGCGACACGAGGAACAGTATTGAGAACCGCTGCTTTAGAACATTGATTTTGAAACTTGTGAATCCATTGGAATCGTTAGAAGACAGAATCGCGATTCATATATGAATAGATTTTTACGTGCACCCCTAGTTTTCTCTTCCTCTTCTCTAAAGCAGCGCAGCATGGCCTCGCCCCCTTTGCTGCCTTTTCCCGAGGGCGGGGTTTATCTGGGTTTGTGATGTCCGAATTCCACGAATCCGGGAAGTAGTTCGTTGTAGTCCCTACGAGACGTTTTTGTAGGCATTAAACTGCCATAATTTTAAAAGACGATATATCCGTTTGCACTGAACTTTTGCAGATATTATGCTTAAACAGCAAAATTACACACCAACGTTAAAAAAGTGAAATCGCAGTCAACCACCCCTTTAAATGTTCTGGAAATACAATCTGATTGGATGAAACATGTTCAATGATGATACTTTAAAAAGCACACCAGTGATCTCACAACAACTCAATTCTACATTAATGTTGCTTGACAACTGTAAACAGACAATTGCCAGGCTATATTTCTTGACATAATAATTGTTTAGTGTGATTAATAATTGACTTGATGAAAAAATAAGTTTATTGCTCTAGTAGCAATAAAGACTTGCATCATTTGCTGCACTAACTCTACAGGAACACTTGAATAGAGCCTCTTCAGTTTCAATCCTGACACAATTAACACCTGATCTGATTTGTGTTTACAGCTGTCATTGCAGCTCAACTAATCAAATCTGACCTTGAAATACTCCAGCAGGTCTCTGCACGTGACTTTAGCTCCACCGATCTCTTTCTCTACCAGGTTCTCTGGTGCCAGCAGTAAAGGCACTAGATTCTGCAGCTGCTTCTTGAACTCATCATTAATGTCTGCAAAAGAAAAATAATGTCATGATGGGCCTACAGTTTAAACGTGCATGTGCATGTCTGTGTCTGAGAGAAAAACTGTACCGACCTCTCAGTCTGCCATCAAAGTGAGGGTTGGTGGCCACCTTCAGACCTGGATGTGGCAGCAGAAAGCAGCCTAAGCTGGAGAAACAGCTGTGAATATGTTTCCTAACGTTCTGCAGCTCTTCGTGTTGATTCTGCTTCACCTATACAGAACAAATAATACACAACTCACACTCCGTTCAACATGCTGAAGCAGTCTTTATCTGTTCTGTGCTTCATCGCACCTGTAGTCTCCGTTCCAAAAAGTGATTCCCTCCTTTGAGCCCATAGTCATGCTCGTATGGGTAACACCAGTCTCTGATCAGAAACAATAGTTTCTAGAAGACAGTAAAGAAGAAAAGTGAAGGTATTCCCACAAATTAGAAAAACAAAAGACATGCATAAAGTCTTCAAACAAAATGCCTAAATGCTCTTTTACTGAAAATGATGTGTGACAATTGCTCAGATGCCCAATTTATTCAGGTAACAGCTCATTCATTTTTATTAGAGAATAAAGAAAGCCATCCCTCAGTATCAACAATATTTCATAGTTTTGGTATGAAAAATGTATTGCTTCATCACAAACAATTACACAAACAATTTTTTGAAAAATGTCTCTTAAGACCACCCAGGCTGCAATTATGTGATCAAAAAACAGTTTGTTTTCAAAACATGTTTTCCATTTCCATTTACTAATAAAATGTAATTTATTCCTGTGATGCAAAGCTGAATTTTTAGCATCATTACTCCAGTCTTCAGAGTCACATGATCCTTCAAAAATCATTCTAATATGATGATTTGCTGCTCAAGAAACATTTCTTCTTATTATTAATGTTGAAAATAATTTTGATGCTTAATATTTTTGTGGAAAAGATGATCTTTGGTGAAAATCAAAAGAACAACATTTATTGGAAATCTTCTGTAACATTATAAAAATTTATTTACTGTCCCTTTTGATCAATTTAATGTGTCCTTGCTGAATAAAACTTCCTTCAAAAATGTATATAATAAAAATACATAAAACAAAATAAATCTGACCCCAAACTTTTGAGCAACAGGCAGTATTAAAAGTCAGTATCCGGCCCCCTTTCTAGTAATATAAAACACAACAAATACTTCACATACAACCCACCAAAACAAACGATATGATTTAAAAAAAAAAAAAAGTTGGCTGTAAAGTTGCCTCAATATTTTTAATATCTGGGGTACATGTGTCAATTTTTGCCCTAAGCACAGGTTGATTTGTGGCCATGTTGTGTACTCAGTATGAAAATGATCAGCTTTTCTACCTGAAATGGTTTCTCATATATCTCCTCCATTGCAAGTCGACCATATTCTGTGAACAGCTATAAAACACACATGAGGTTACTATCTCTCACACACTATTAACACTAACTAACAGTGTACACCAACAAAGAAAGCTGCTACCTGGAGATGCTGCAAATCATCTTCTTGGATATTCTGAGAAAGATTATAAACCTAAAACAAACAAGATTGCTAGGTCGCTTAATATGCCAAAATTATTATTTAAAGTCTTGAGCATCACTAATGTGCTTCAACACACCTGCACAGAGCTGGTCATGGTGCTCAGAGCAAAAACTGTGGCACAGTCTTTGATGGTGGACTGACTGTCAAAGGCTCCCTGAGTGTCCACCAGCAGAACAGCCACCTTCAGATACACAGAGATTAGTCTCATCACACAGTCAACATATCTTGACAGTGAGATAATACACAACTTCAAGTAAAAGCCCATCCACCTTAGTTCCGTCTTCCTTTTCCACAACAAACACCTCACTCCAGGCCTGGATTCCCGTGGTCTCTCTCTCACAGCCTCCCCTCCAGGAGAAACCAGTCAGTGGCTCATCGTCTCCTCCCATCCATGACTCAGATGACTACAAAGACACAGAGACAAAAGACATTGTTCATGTGAAGGCTCTGAAATGTACCTAATAAAGCATGCACACTCACATCCATGTGACCTAGCTGGTTTTATACATGCAGGACGCGGCCCGCAAATTAAGACATGTCAATGATAGGAGTCATCAGGAACTTGTTCTCAGGAATGAGAATTCAGATAGACTTATTTTTAACAGATATGTGAGAGCACTCATGCCTCACATATTTAAATGCATATGGGTGGTTGACGTGTCATTTTACTGTCCTCACAAAAAAAAAAAAAGGGCCAATAAATGTTTTTCCTCAGTTTAATAATTTGTTATTTTGTGTATTGTTTTATTGCAAATAGTTGCTGATAAGATGGGAAAATACAAAATATTTAGAAAACATTTAAACAATTTAGAACATTAAAGAATTTTGATTAAAATAATTAAAAATACTAATGTTCTTGTTTTATTGTGAAAATATTGTTTATTAGTCATTGTATGCGTTTTCCCTTTACAGTGAAAAACAAAATCAACCATTAGATTTTTCACTTAAACACATCAAATATTCTCATTGTGAAATACAGAAACTAATTAAAATGTGGATTGAAATTCTAATTCTAAAACAAACTTCATTAATGACTGAATAATCAATTTACATATCTAAAAAGAAACAATCTTTTCTCATCAATTCATGAAGCAAGTGACTGCCTTTATTCTTTCTGTTTTAAAGATATTTTAATATTAATTTGTCTGTATAATGAGTGTGTTGTAGATCTGTGTTTTATTGGTTGTTTTCTCCTCCTACACTCCCACTTTTCCACAGTTTTACACGCCCATTTCTGGAGTCTTTTTCAGATCTAAGGTGTGAAAGACCAGTGCTGAAACAGAGGGGTTTCATGATAAACAGTATTTCTCATTTACAAATATACACATTTTATTTTAAAAACTTAAATTATGTCCATTTATTAACTACTCATACACTTAGATCAGTAGAAGGGGATTCGTTCTAACCTGATTATGCATGTAACGCAGCATGAAGTCCAGCAGGAAGGACTTCCCCTTGCGAAAGGCACCGGCCACAGACACCACAACCACGTTGAGATCCTTCAAATGTTCCTGCATCAGGATTTTTTCCAACGCAGTGGCATCCAACTCAAACTTATGATCATCCTCATTCGCAATCACAATTTGGATAGGGCGAGCCCCCTCAGGAACTGGGTCCTCCTCCGGCTCAAGCTCTTCTGCTGCAGCACACGGTGCCACTCCATTAGTATCAGAGCTGAACTCCTCCAGTGAGCTCAACGCCTCAACGGGGCGGCACAATGGAACATCTTCCACACCGGTCATATCTGGGGGAAAAACAGGGTAATCTGAAAGGTCATTAACTGCAACTATTACAAACATTTTGATAACTGCAATAAAGCTACAATAAAATAAAATATAAATATTAGATGGAAAAACTTCAACTTTCACATTTCATTTTCTAATTAGTTTAAGCTGAAGCATATATATATTTATATGTATCTAATATATTTAAAATATAAAAATAAAAGCTATTTCAAAATGTTAATAAAACTAGAACAGTATATAAATAATACTAAAATAACACTGGTAATTTGTACATTTGAATAATTTTTAACATTTAAAAACAATCTTGTGGCAGCTTCAACCTTAAATTCATCACTGTTTAAAAAGTCAAACATAATAGTCACAATGTCCTCTTTTGCTGTGCAATAATGGCCAAACAAGCATGGATGAGAAAAATCCACATATTGAGACCAAGTCCTTGTTGGTCAGACACGGGTTTTGTGACGTTTCCAGATTTGCTTTTCAGCACTTCACTAGCAGCTCATTACTGCGGTCACTTTCTATTCCAGGAGTGTGGGTCTCTGTTTTAACCCCATGCACTTTATCCATGAGCTGCGATAAGCCTAGATCCCTTCGGCCACAGGGCTAAATTTGGTCATTTTTGTCCTCTGGTTAAGACACATGTAACACAAAACAAACACCCTCTCTCCCCTTTGCTCTGGTCTCTTCAGGCTCACGGCCAGTCAAGCAGAGCCGCTGGAACAGAGTCAAGCAGTGTCAGTGTGAGCAAACACACACCAAGGACACACTGAAGAGGGGACAGTCCATTCAAAACTGCTTCAAGTACAGGCCAATACAGATTTGTGCCACACTCATACTGCCCAGACCGAATAATTGGTGAATACTCAGTTTAAATATAAATTATAAATGGGCCAAAGTGGTTCTGATCACAAAAAAAAAGGCTTGGGAATCCCTGCATTACATGAACAAACATTAGTAAACATGAAAACATGACTGAAGTCTTCCAGGTTTTAAATGTTTTTGTCCAGACGTCCAATATTAATAATTAATGAAGATCACTGGATATGATGAAGACAGCATTTCACAGCTATGCATCAGCAGTGTTTAGTAATCTGCATAATTATTAGTCTCATAAGTGGTTGGTACATTTAGACAGAAAATGTTTAAAGAAAAAAAGAACTGGGGAGAATCAATACATTATCAATATAATATACTGCTACTGTGTGAAATAATATGTAATCCATAAAAAGTAACTGTAATCTGCTTATGAGCATTTTAATATGTAATCTATTCAAAAGTGCTTAATTTTTGGAATCGGATTATGCAATCCAGATTATGACTTATATTACACTTAATACTTGATATAATATATTAAAAAGTTGCATGACTACATAATGATATACAACTCACGAGAGTTTGTGCGATGTTGTTAAACTCAACAAAGAGTGAAATATAGAAAGAGGAGCCAACTAAAAATACTATATTATTAAATTATAGTTTATAGTAAACTATAATTTTAAATTAACTTCTTCCTTATGTCAGGACATAAAATGATATAGGACAGCATGACTGCATTTGTTAGTTAATGCACTGGCTAACATGCGAAACATATTTATTCATCTTTTAATTTTAGTTATTTTAAAATACAGTTGTTATTCACAGTTATTCACAGCACTAATGTTAACAAATGCTAAAAAAAAAAAAAATTTGAAAAATGTAACACTAAATGTTTGAATGAAATTTAACTATGAATAATAAATACTGTAGTAGTAGTATCGTTCATAGTAAGTTTGTTAACTAATTATTTATTATTGACATGCGCGTGGTGCTGAGAAGAAATCATTGAATAAAGTCATTATTTTTGTTTTCTTTGCGCACAAAAAGTATTCGCGCAGCTTCGTAAAATTACGGTTGAATTACTGATGTCACATGGATTATTTTAACAATGTCCTTGCTACGTTTCTGGACCTTGATCGTAGTAGTTGCGTTGCTGTCTATGGAGGGGCAGAAAGCTCTCAGAGTTCATCAAAAATATCTTAAATTGTGTTCCGAAGATGAACAAAGGTCTTACGGGTTTGGAACGACATGAGGGTGAGTAATTAATGACAGAATTTTCATTTTTGGGTGAACTATCCCTTGAAGGTGCTACTAACATACATAATTCTGTCATATTGTTTTTTGTTTACTCTTAAATAATTCCAATGTGGAAATGTTGCCATTTTTAAAAACTAATAATAGGCAAAGCAGTGCTGTCAAAAGATTAATCGCGATTAATCGCGTCCAAAATAAGTTTTTGTTTACATAACGTGTGTGTGTGTACTGTAGTGTTGTCAAAAGACCCGGTACTTCGGTACCAAGTCGGTACTAAAAAAATTAAAACATTACAGTACCAGGTTTTTTTAAAAGTACCAGTGGTACCAAGTACCCGGTCAACCCGGTTCTTGATGCGCTCTCTTCATAAAAGCACTGAGACGTGGCGACATCAAAACGAGGAAACACACCAAACTAACAAAACACT